GAGGAGTAGCCGCTGCCCTCCTACAGGAGAGAGAGCGGGTGAGCAGGGGGAACCGGTGTCCCAGCCCTCCCCTTCCCTGCGGGACGAGAGCAGCGGGGACCCCCCGACCCCTTGGCACCCCGGCGCGCTCCCCGGTGCCCCGTGCTCACGCTCCGGTCGGCATCAGTGGAGCTGGTGTTGGCTGCCTGGAGCTGGGTGCTGGCGATGACGGGGGAGCTGAAGGTCTCCGTGGGTCTGTGCGCGGGGTGCAGGCTCACCCTCCTCACCTGCCGGCGGGCAGAGCGGTGGGCAGGGGCCGGTGGCAGCCCCGGGCAATGCCACTGGTTGGGACGCCCACCCGGGTGACACTGACCTGCTGGCTGTCCCCCGCCCACCAGGCCTGGGCACCAGTGGCCGGCAGCGTCCCGGCGCAGTCAGGGAAGAGATCCTCGTGGAAGTCCTGGATGGACTGCAGGAGAGGGGACAGGGCAAGGTGGGTGTCCCCAAAACCCTGTAGCCCCCATCCTGCTGCCAGCTGGCACCGCCTGGCCCAGGGCACCCCTGGACACCCCCTGGCACCCCCAGGGACCCCTGGGCACCCCTGGGCACCCCAGCCCCTCCAGCCACAGAGCCCCGTCCCCACGAGCTGCGCGCCGAAGCCTGTAGGTGTCAGACGCTGCCCGGCGCTGGGCTGCCTTGCGCACCCCTGAACGCAGCCAGCCTCCAAAACAGCACCCAGCATCATGGCTTGCAGCACCCAGTGCCCGTGTTTCAGCACCCAGCTTTAAGCACCCAGCATTCAGGATCTGGCACCCAGGATCCTCCCTCCAGCACCCAGACGCTGCTACCCAGCACCCAAATCTCAAACGCTTTAAAGCCACTTTAAGCACCCGGCATTCAGGATCTGGCACCCAGCACCCACTGCACAACAGCACCCAGCAGGTAGCACCCTGCTGTCAGGAACCACTCTCCAGCACCCAGCATCTTGCACGCAGCACCCAGCTTCCCAAATCCAGCACCCAGCAAACCCAGCCTCCATTACCCACCCAGATTTCAGCGCCCAGAACCCAGCACCCACCTTCCAGTCACCACTACCCGCCATCAGCACCCAGATTTCAGCCTCCAGCACCCAGCACCCACCCTCCTGCTCCATTACCCGCCATCAGCACCCCGGTTTCAGCCTCCAGTACCCAGGTTTCCCTCCTCTCCCACTCCCCTCAGGGTGGGGAGCGGGGTCCCCCTGCACCCGGGCACTCTTTGTCACCCAGCGCCATTGAGGTGGCACCCATGACATGTCACCCATGAGGTGTCACCAGGCACCCGTGACGCAGTGCCTCCCTTACCTTGCGTGGTACCACGTAGCTGACGGGGACGAGGGCGGTGTCGGTGAGCTGCAGGACGCGGAGCACCTCGCAGGCCATGACGTCCAGGGCCAGGCGCGGCACGGCAGCCAGGCCCCGCGTGCTGCCCTCTGTCCGGCACTGGGTCACTGGGGGACGGGCAGGGCAGGCGTGGAGCAGGCAGCGCGGGCAGCGGTGAGGCCCTCGGGGCTGCCGGCAGCGCGGGACATATCCTGCTTACCTTGGGTGAGCGCCGGCTGCGCGGGTGCCACCTCGAAGCAGTACAGGAGGTTTTCTCCCTGGAAGAGAGGCGGAGGGGACAGGGCATGAGCGGGGCTGCGGGGAGCACCCCACTGCACCCACACGCGCCCCATGGCCGTGGGACCTCACCTTCCCCGCCAACACCAGCAGCCCTGTGTCAGCGTCGTACAGCGGGACGGCGGCCCTGCAAGGGAAGGAGGGTGCTGAGCCAAGGACACACGTTGGCGCAGCACCCTGAGGGCCGCGGGGCCGGATCCTGCACCTTCCCCCACTGGTGCACACCCCAAACCCTGTCCTGGGGAAGCACGGGGCAGGATCAGGCCCCGCCTATGGCAGGACCGGGGGCAGGGGGGACCCCCGGGGGGCGCGGGGGCCCTCCCCCCCTTACACGT